CACAGGACACAGTGGAGACATTTAGAGAGGAGGAAGCACTTCTACTCTGAAAGAGGTATGGCTTAAACCTGTGGGTCCAGACTGGGTGTGTGTAAATGTCATGTTGATGTCTACTCATGCGTGTGTGTGTGTGTTAGTGAGTGAAATAGCTACATTAAGGTCGGTGTGTTTCGGTGGGGAATGTAAACTTTTGGAACAATGTGTCTTTTTTTCTTTAAATAGTTTACTGTATGTGTACATTAAACATACACAGCCACACACACACACACACATAGAGTAGCTCACTGTGCACACTCACATTCATACAGTAAGTCTCCCTCACACACACACCATGTTTCCTCCCACAGCTAGTGGGCGTGTATGTCCAGTCCCTGTGCGAGGAGCGGCTCTGCGGGGTGCGCGTGCGGCGGCGGGTGGAGCAGCATGGCAGTGTGGGGGTGTGGGCCTGGGTACGGGTGGAGGGAAGGTCCTGGGTGTGGAGGGTAGCTTGCTTGGGACAGGTAGTCACCCTGCAGAGAAGACATCCCCTGGAGACCTGTTGGGAAAAGAGTATATTTTTAATGTCAATGAAGTGGAATTATTTCTATGATTTGGGTCAATAGAAATTACTGAGCGGACAAAGTTCACAACACTTTAAGTAATCTACGTATGGCAAAGAAAACCAACCTTATTCATAGTATCTAAGTCAAGCGTGGAAGGAAGAGTGCAGTATTTTTATTCTTTAACATTAATTTTGCTTTTAATATCATGTTTTGACCTGAAGATTCACCATATGATTCAGTAACTGGAGACACAATTAAACCCAGATTCACAGAAAAAGAAAAAAATTTAACATATATATATATATTTAAATATATATATTAGTTTTACAGTAGTTTTTAGCAAATGTTAACAATCAGGAGGAAACAGTGAATTCATTGCAGCCTATTCTCCATGTGGATTAATCCACATTTGGTGCTCCGGTGAGCTTTTCTGGCAGAAGGACATTGTACAGTAAGTGAGATTAAGTCAACAGTGTGTGTCTTCATTATAATTAAGGACCACTTCACTCGGTGTGTTTTTAGTAGTATTTGGAAAACAATATAGCTCTATGACACAGAGGACTAATCTATATCAAGCTACACATAATATTTCTTTGTAGAATAATAATTTAATTGCTGGTGTTGGTCTTTGTTGACAGAACAACAGAGATTTATCACCAGACCTGTCCTGTAAGTGGAGTAGTACATTTTGTTTTATCATGTGTGTAGCTGCTGTACCTGCTGTTCGAAGCCCGAGGTGGGCTTGTCCGTCAAGCCCGTAGCCGCCAAGAGCTGCTCCCTCTGGGCTGTAGGGACCGCCCTGACCTGTGAGTCACCACACACCATCAGATACAAATATACAATAAACTTGCATTCATATAAACTAGCTGTTTACTGATCGATTGACCAGGTGACTAACATATAAACACAGACCTGAGCGATTTGACTGGTCAATCATTGGCTGAACTATTCTCCTCCTGGCGTTGATGAACCTGCTCAGGGGAGAACAACATCAGAAAAGAGTGTGTTCAGAGAGAGAGAGACAAGGCCACCCATTAATGGAGAAAAAGGCTGACTGGGCGACTTTTAACCTTTCCCATTTTACAGCCACTTAACCCTTTCAACGGGCCGAGTAAATCAAAGTTAGGGCAAAGCAGTTATTGATTGTTCTGTGATAACTGATTGATCAAATCGATGGGGTCACTCTGTATGCCACAGCAGGAGCACATTTAAAAACACATAAGCTTCACATATACATATACATATATATATATGAGTTTCATATAAATCATTGACAAACCTACTTTTTAACATGTAACACACACTTCATATTCTTGAGTTTGGAGTGAGAGTGTGTGTCTATGACTAAACAGAACATAACATAGCATAATTATAAAAAACTTATTGATCAGTAACGTGAACACGTGTGTGTGTGTGTGTATGTGTTTTGCCTGTGTGCCAGGAAAGGGAATAGGGAATATGGGAGCAGTAAATCATCTAATTATTCAATATTGATTTGCTATTTTGTTTTATGAACATGAAGCTAGTGGATTTTATTGCTCTTCAGCTTCAGAAAAATGCTTAGTAGGACATTTCTTATTCTGTTTAAACTGCTCGCTGATTATAGCATTCCATATTGTAAAAGTGCTACTTTTTATTTAATTAATATTTATTCATACAATATATCTGCACAAGAAAAAGCTAATGACAAAAAAAATACTACTTAAGTGAGTCGCAAAGCATTTTTCATTTGTACATTAGACTATCACACCGATATATATTATTGATGTGGTAACATCAAATTGTCTGTCGCCATCAAATTGAAAGCTGACAATTTGAACAAGATTGTTCAAGTAAACATTAATAAGCCGCAGGGCTAGAATTAGTATATTAAAAAGGAGCACACTGACCAGTTGTTGACCTGTAAAATGGTCAGTCCTGTGTCCTGTGACAGCTGCTTCTTCTGCTCCTCAGATGGGTATGGGTGCTGGGAGAGGACACACAGAGCTGGAGTTAACAAAATCAAAACACTTTAGACTCACAGGTTTCTTGCAAACATATAAGTAAATCATCTTGGGGGTACTTGAGGCTTAAATCTAAAATATAATAATGCATGTGAACTCTCGGTGTGAAAACTGATGATCTTACATCTGCAGTCACATTTTGAACCTCAGCAACCTCTCCCTGTTGCTCTGTATTTCTCTCTCTCTCACACACACACTGTAATAATTGGAGTGCGGCAACATTTGACCTGCCTCATTTAGTAGCTAATTACCAATCTAACCACCTCGCCAGCAATTACTCACTCCATTTCTATCACTTTCACAATTATTCAATAGCGGGCACATTCACATAATCACTTAATCCCCAGATTTTTCATTTAATTTAATTGACCTCCATTATACACTCGCTTCCCCTCGCTGTCTGTTCTTGTCAGTGACGTTTTGCCTCACTCTAAATCCTCTTTCAATAATTTTTTTTCACCCTGTGCTTTACACAAGCTTTCTTTGTTTGATTACAGTTTTGCAGGATGTTTTTAATTATATTCTAAATATGTTCTTGTTGATAAGAACATGAAAAAGCTCTCTCACCGACAGGTGCTGGAAGAGCCATGCTCTCATGATGTTCGTGGCCACTTTGGGGAAGATCCCTCTCTTCTTGTTGTTCCTCCTGTCTCTGTCGGACTCATCCTCCTCTCCGGTACTGGGGGAGGCCACTCCTCCATCCAGACCATCGCCTGCAGGGAGACCATGGAAACAATGCATCTGAGGCACTGGTGTGCGCACGTGTGCGTGCACACCTGGTATTAGAGACACTGTGGGGACTGAAACCTGTTTACACATACACTGTGAGGACTTGGCCTTGCTCATGGGGTCCAGATGCTGGTTGTCACAATGTAAATCATTGAATTTTGGAGCGTGGACTTGGTTTAGGAATGAGGTAAGGGCAATAGTTAGGGTGTAAAGTCCCCATGGGGAAATGTGTGTGTGTTTGCGTGTTTATTAGGGTTTTTCCTGATGTTTTGTATCCGTATTCATAGATTTAATTCATTGCCTTCAACCATCATAGAGCTATAAGTTACAGGTTTCCAAAAGCACAGCTGCATTCAGGATCCCCCCTCAGTATCTATTCCAACCCACTCACAGTAATACATACATATGTTGACCACACCAATTTAATCAACACCAACACATCTAACAAAACATTATCACTGTGCATAATGTTCATCATATCAAGGTTGGGTTTCATCTAACAACTGTGTTCATTAATGACTTGTCTGCTGATTATTTTCTCAATTAATTCAATAATTTCTTAAACATTTATTTTATGAAATATCTGAAAAATAGTTGTCTTATTTAGCTTCAAAACACTATATGCTGTGTATGAACTGTATAATAGAAACAATGTTGCAGTTGCGTGCGTGCACACCTGTGCTTCCCTACATGCATCTTTGCTGTGCAGCAAAGTGTCTTCAATGTGTGTTTACCTGTGTCACTACAGTTGTCAGCTGTGCTGTGCGAAGGGAGGCTACAGATGCCCGGTGTTCCCAGAGGAGTAGTGGTGCATTCATCTGGCTCCCGTAACCATGAGGCATTCTGCAGAGAGGATGGCACAGAGAGGAGGTTGGAGGTGAGGTAATGGGAAGATGGAGAATTCCCAGCAGGTGGAGAGGAGAGAGAACAAGGAGACATAAACCACATGGTCATTATTTTGACATCCAGTGGATGCAGCTGGACAGATGAATGCTGGAGACTCTGCTACAGTGCTTGAGCACGCACTTTGACATTTGGTGCCTTAGCAGCTTTTCTCACCTGCTCTGACAGACTGGTGCAGGATCCAGTGAAGTCCTCCATGTCAGACTTGGAGCCACCCTCCCGTTCATCCAGGACAAGGTCTGTGGGCATTTTGCCCTTCAGACAGGTGATGTAGCGATGGCAGAAGTTGTCACACAGGTCATGCACCTTCAGAGACACATTTATACTCAGCAGTGTATATTGCTAACACCACTTCCTCATCTCTGCCCGATTATGTCATACCAAAGAACAAGCTCACAGTTTCTGTTCAACAGTCTCTTAAAACAATAATCTCATCTCCATATGTACATTTAAAGCAGTTTTTGCTTGATGTAATCATTCCTCCTGTTCAAAACTGTGAACCTACCCTTTAATGTTATTACACAAGCTGACTAAAATTTCCTTCCCTGGTTTCCAATTTAGTCTCCAACGATTCCCTTAAACACATTGTTAAGATTCTGAAAGACTGTTCTTTATTCATTTTATGACCCAGCGTGTTTGATTGCAGTGCAATTTGGCAGCTAACATGTTAGTCCTGGATGTCAGGCTTTCTCACATGAGCACAGAGTATGCATACTAAAATAAATTAAGTAAAGTGTAAGAATAAGCAAAAACTGAATGGTTTTGTCTCACCAACCTTCTCTAACTCCAGTAAATGAAAGCGAAGAACCTGTATGGCCTGGATCATCTGTATAGAGGAGAATGTGGATTACTTATCAATACATAACCCACAATGCATGTGTGAAAATGTCTGTTCCATTTTTTTATGTGATGTCTACAGGTGTTTCATACCAAGTTGTCCAGCTCAGGATTGGAAGAAAATATAGGCTTCTCTGAACGAATCTGCAACACAAGTTTAACAAATTGCAACAAACATTAAAGCGTGCATCAGCTGCCATCGACTCTCTGACTGGCTCTCACAGGTGTCACTGACCTGCTTCGCGAAAGCGGCAATGTCATCGTTGAAGGACTCGGAGGAGCAGACGTCACTGTGATTGGTCATGCCGGGGAGGTGGGAAGTGGCTGAGAGGGAGGTGGAGTCTCGAGGGGAGCAGGTGGCAAGCTCGCACTTCTCAAACACTAAGGCCAGCAGTGGAAACAGTGGGTGACTACACAAACACACACACACAACGAGACACACACATTTACAGTTTACATACTGTACATAAACACAGTAACAGTTGACATGTTGTTCACATGATATATTTACAAAAAGTTTCACAAAAAACATTTTACCACAGTATTTATGAAACAGGTAGTAAACACTTCATTAGTATTTTCAGTGTACAAATAAGTACTAGTTGTTAATCTGCTAAAGGTCCGTGTGTAGTTTAAACAGGTTTTTAACAGCTACAAGGCCACATAAGTCATTGTCTCCATCACATATTAGGTTTCAAGTATGCACATACTCTTACCCATAGATCTGGTCTTTGTGGTGTTTGAGGGAGTCAGGGATGGTGGGTCCATACTGTGGGGGAGGAAGCGGCCTGACATCATCCCCATAGCCCCCCACCGACATGCCCTCCGACCCTGAGTAGTGCACCAGCTCTTCATACTGAAACACAATTACATAGAAAGACAGAAAACATCAGACACGTTTGACATCTGTGCCTGCCTGACATCAAATCCTATTGTGATTTTATTATAAGGCTGAGCTGTCAGGGGGTTTCAGTGACACAGCTTACTGGACTAACACTGAAAACAGCTACTGCTGCTGCATTTAACAGAAGAATTTACTGTTCTGTGATTATCTATCAAATTTTAAGACAGTAAAATAAACAAAAAAATAAATAAATACCATCACAATTTCCCAAAGCTTGAGTTGGTGTATTCAGTTTGCTTGTTTTGTTCGACCAACAGTCCAAAACCCAACAATATTCCACTTACTATATAATCAACCAGTCTGAAGCAGTTAATTTGGGGCTGCTGTGCTTAAAGATGGACTTAAACAATTATTAAAATGGTTTCAGATTAATGAAGTTAATCCACTAATTGGTTAATTGAGTAATTGTTCTAGATTGAAAAGTCTAGTGTCTAAAGCTTAGAAGAAAAGCAGAGGAGATGAGAAACCAGGGAGGTGAGCAGAAGACAGTGAGCCTGTAGCTGCTAATATTATCTCCTCCCTCCTAAACTCAGACTAGACAAGAGCCATGCTGAGACGCCCCTCACAACCCACTGTGACGGCCTCACTGGGGCAAACACACACACAAACACTGACACAGTGAATCAGGCCCACATGCAGCAGCACACTCAGACAAACACATGCACAAACACAGCAGCATTTACAGACATAACATCATGAATATACATCTCACTCCCTTGTTTTTCCCCTCTCTTTCTTTATGTTACAGAGCAAATGTGTGCTTCACTGCAGCTTTGGTCTCTGAGGTGACGATGCTCAGGTCAGCAGATCTCTTCTGTGCCTCTTTCTGCTGGATTAAAAGAGGCTCCTGGAGCAGTCTTGCAGGGCCACTGGGATCACAGACAGCAGCTGCTATGTGGTCTGGCCTAGACACCTTTCACTGCTGCATTATTTTAACTGAGCAATAAAAGTTGTGATCTGCTTAGCCTATAGTTTTTCTATGGAGACTTTTCCCAAGGGAGGTCACCAGAAGAGGTTACTACAGAAGAGTTTGACAAGAGGACTGAATCATTTACATTTGTTACTTCAGATTTCATTCAAACATTATATTCCTGTTTATTATCCACATATTCTCTCTGTATGCTGACCACTGGAATTACATTTTTTAAAAATCAGTTATTCCTCTCCGTATTTATGCACTGCCCTCCGTCCCCTCTGCAGGACCTCTGGAGGTCTTCAGACCCCACTTTGGGAGCCACTGTCAAATGACTTATCAAATTGCTGTATTTCAGTCCCATATGGCCACCGGGATCACAGAAAGCACCTGCTCTGAGGACACCTTCTAGTTTTTAAGGAGATTGGCCATTAACACAATCACTCCTATCAGATTGCTCGTCTCTCTTTACGCACGGCCCATATCGGATTTCTGTGTGTCAAGCGGATCAAAGCGCACAAGTCGAGATGACAGGTTCCGTGAATCTCCGCCTTTTTGAAATCTCACGGAGCTGCTAAAGGCTTCAAATGGGAGGACAACGTTTTCATTACGAGGTTTAATTGTAATTCCACCGAGATAGAAAAGTTATCACCGGCCTAACAACCGCCTTTAGCTTACTTCCGCTGGGAAGACTCATCTCCAGAGCCAAAGCCTGTGATGAGTCGTGGGAATAAAGCCGTTCGGTAGAACTGGGTTTATGATGGAATGTATTAAATTTGCAAGAAAATTTGGCCCAAATTTATGTTTCAGATACTTGAAAATGTGACCGAATTAACATCTATTAATAAAGAATAACAGTTGTGTCTGAAACATATAAGTTAAAGACAGTTCGGTGGTTTAAAGGACAAAAACAGCCAACCTCATAAAAATCGTGAAAATATAAATGTGTTTGGGGATTAAATTCACAAAAAATGTTCAAATGTCCAAATTACATTTACCATCTTAGCTTTTTTAAGCTCTATTATTAACAAAGACAGAACAAACTATAACGAAATGAACGAAAGCACAATATTTCTACTTTAAAAGTTTTGTATTGGTTACAGGCAGATCTGTTGAAAGCTAATCACTTCTGCATTTAAAGCATTTGTAAAACAAAACAAATTAACCTGTTGCAGACTCGAGGTCGAGTTATGGCTCGTCTCTGACACAAAACAGCAGATACTCTTTTAAAATAAGGCACATTACCAATTTGGTCTAAGGACTGGACGGACTTTGTTATAAAATGTTATTACTGTACAAAATGAAATAGTTCAGCAATACTGAGTTGAAAGGGCCAATAAAATACAACCCTGCATCTCCTTTAACCCCCAGAAATCCCCTTACCCTATGACCCATTATACCCAGAAAATGAATTGTGAATATCTTCAATTAAAATCTGTTTTTACGCTGTTCTTGTTGTTTCTCTCTGTGTGTGCAGACCTTTCCTCTCCCCTGCCTTGTTTTCACACAGCACTGATTTTCTTTCTTCACACTGTACATCTCTAATTGCTCCCTTCCACTCACAGGTCTCAGTCCGCCTGCTGCTGTCAGCTTCTGCCTGCCTCTCCTCCTCCACCATCACCATCATCATCATGCCTCTGAATCACTGTAGCAAAAAAAGTGACCTACTTACCGAGTTGAAGAGCTGCTCTGCCTCTTAATGACCTACTCGACTGTCTAACCCTTATGTGCCATTACGACGCCTCGCTGATATTACGCATCAACTCTCTACATTTGCGGAGAGAATGAAGAATGAGCTCCAAACATCTCCAGGTGAGGCATGTTAAGTGACTGCTGACATAGTTGTACATCAGTAACCTCCGCTGAACTGCATTTCACCTTATGATAACTGGTGGGTTTAGAAGTTTTCCCCACTGTTTCGTGCGCTTAGCCGCCTTTATAGCACAAAAGGGTATGTCTTGGTGGCGCTAGTGTTTTTGTTGGCACGTTTTTCTGTTGTTTTTCCCTAAACATTAAGTCCATGCCAGCACAGTCCACTAGTCTGTTTCCACTGGGCCTTTTGCTTTGTGTGGCTGCTAAACCCGACCCGACTGGCGAGTGCAAAGAGGATTCCCATCCCTGATCTTTCTAGTTAAGTTTATATCCGTTCCCCAGTAATATAAGATCTGGTATCCCTGCCAGACCCGAGTCTGAATCAGTCCCATAATAAAAACAGCGGACCTACCCGCTTCTCCATGCGACTCGACAGCCAGACCCACACCGAGATGATGATGCGCTGCTCGGCTAGTTCCACGAGCTTTGCTCCCTTCGTCTCTCCCTGGAGTCCTGAAGATAAAAGTGCATGTTTTTTTTATGGATTAGCAATTAAGTTGGAAACACAATTAATATCAAGCAGAGACAGCAGGGATCCAACAACACATGAGGGTGCATATAGAAAACAGTCAGGACCTTCTCCCTCTGTGTGTCTGTTTACTCCGAGCCCGTAGCGTTTTATATTGCAACATAATGACGGTACTAGAGGTTTTATGGATGTCTAATATCCCGATATCCTACTGCACATGCAAGCTTAATGCTTTATTATACACTAAGAGGTAATAAACGCTCTAATAAAGCTCACAGCCTATTAAATGCGACTGTAAAAGCTATTGGATGCTGATGTTGAGTAATACAAAGCTCCAGTAAATGGTGTAAAATGTCCCACCGAGACGTAGCCTAAATATTCGCCGTATCCAGTCCCGTTTGGGCCGTGTCCGGTGTAGTCCAGAAACCCTGGAGAAAGGAGCAGCGGTTTCCTGCAGCGCCTCGCCTCCGCCTGGTGCGCCTCTCGCTCCGGCTCGGGTTGCTCGGTGCCGTGGAAGACAGAGAAAGCGTCCCTTCCTTTTTGGCTGCTTCTGCTCGCTGTCCGCGCAGCATACGGCGGCAGGCTGGAAAATGTCACGGCTGGGAGTGAGCGATGGTGTTTTCAGTCTCAGGAGGAGTGAGGAAGGAGGAGGAGGAGGAAGAGAGGGGGAATCGTGATGGTGGTGGCCGTGTGCGGGAAGGTTTCGAAGGGTCAGAACGCAACGGGGTCTCTTGGTCCCCCTCCTTCCTCATTTTCTTCCCCCTTTTACTCCTCCTCCTCCTTATCACAAACACCAGAGAAGAAGAAGAAGACCCTTTAGATCGTTTAATCTCCAATATCAGTCCTCCAGCATCCTTCCATCCTTCCTTCCTTCCTTCCTTTCTCTCTGGAGAAGAATCGTGATTAACTCTCACTTTACTGACATGGAGCAGATTTAATATAAATCAAATTCTGAACAATCAATTAAAGTGATAAGAATATGTTGGGTAGCCTCTTAAATTCCTCACAGTGTCTGCAACTTGTAAAAGCAGAAACTTCTAAAGTGAATTTATTGCAAAATCACAACACATTGGAAATGTGCAGTTTTAATCAGAAAAAGAAAGTTTGCACAGTTCAATCAAAATTGTTGGTTCGACTGCAGCTGAGTTAATGAGCTATTAAGGGTAATTTCAGTGAGAAAACCGTTTTAATCAATCTGCTCCTCATGCTGGACCATAAATAAGTTTGAAGCGTGCTTGATGACAAGAAATTTACTGGCTGACAATAGCTTTCAGAGCGTTTTATTGTTTTTGTCAAGATGCGCCTTTTGACGCAGCCCAAATGTCACCCTTTGGCCTTTTTGTTGTTTGCGCGAAGTGAGAAAACAAAACCATTATTGTGAGAAAGTTTAATTTTAACTAGAGAGAGAAAACAAACCTTTCACATGTTAGTGGAATAGTTCAGCTCCAGTCTTGTGTTGCAAACGACACCTAAGTAACAACAATGATTCAAAACGCTCTTCTTTCCCCCGTCCCGCTGTGAGGGGCCAACAGGCGGCTGCATTTCAATCAGCAGCGGCTCGGTGGGCACCAGCAGGCCGGGGCAGGCGTCTCAGTGGGCGGCATGGAGTTTGACCGTGGGGCCGCCTGCGAGGGGTTGTGCACCGTCCGTGCAACCAGGGGTCTTTCAACTCTGCGGGGTGTTGGTTTCCTGCAGGGGTGATCACAGCGCTCAGCCCCCTCCTACACTGAGCCGGTAATACAGCCGTGAAGCAGCGTCAATGGGCTGGAAAAAGGCTTGTTCTCACTTTGTTAACAGGTCGAATGAGAAGGATTAACGTTGAAGTGTGCGTCATCTGGCGAATTCATGTTTACAGGCATTCGGATTTCCGTTTTTGTATTAATGGAACCCCTTTACAATTCACTAACAAGTTATAGGCTATGGCACTTTACTGGGAGCGACACTCAGCTGTTAACAGTGTTTTTCTGCAGGACACTTAAACATTTTGCTTGAATTAGACCATAAATCTTCTTCTGTAACATATTAACAGTCTATTATCTAAACATGTAGATTAACACTTATCCATCATTTTTATCACAACCCGGTGTGTCTGTGTGACAACACAGCACATTTAACACGACATATGTTGTTAAGCTTATGCTGAAAAGTAACACAAGTGTCTTATTCTCAAAGGCCTTACAATAACACGTCTTTATAAAGCTGGAACAATAGGCTATTTGATCATTAAGTATATAGTCATGGCCAAAATATTGGCACCCCTGCATTTCTGTCAAATAATGCACCAGGTTTCCCAGAAAATTGTTGCAAGCACAAATTCTTTGGTATTCTCATGTTTATATCTTTTGTTTGCATTGGAACAACACAAAAACTTATAGAAAAACACCAAATCTGATACATTCACACAGAACTCTAAAAATAAACTGGACAGGATTATTGACACCCTCAAGTTAATATTTGGCAGCACACTCTTTGGACAGCATAACTGAACAGTCACTTCCTGTAACCATCACAGAGTTTTTTGTTTTTTTTTACACCTCTCTGCTGGAATTGTGGGCCACTCTTCTTTTGCCAACTGCTCCAGGTCTCTCGGGTTTGAAGCGTTCCTTCTCCCAGCTGCTGTTTTGAGGTGCTCTCTCCGCAGGTGCTCTATGGGATTTAGACCTGGACTCATTGCCGACCACTTCTGAACTCTCCCGCGCATAGTTTGAACAATTTCTAGTGCTTTTTGAAATCTGCTTTGGGTCATGTAAGACCCATGACTTCTGACAGAGACGCAATCTTCTGACACTGAGCCCTACATTGCACCCCAGAATTCATTCACATTAGTGAACCTCCACCATGTTTGACTGTAGGGACCGCGTTCTTTTCTTTGAAGACCTCATTTCATTTTCTGAAAACAGTAGAATGATGTGCTCAATCAAAAAGCTCCCAGAAGGACTGTGGCTTCTTCAGGTAAGTTTTAGCAAACTCCAATCTGGCTTTTTTATGTTTCTGTGTCAGCAGTGGGGTCTCCCTGGGCCTCCTATCAGCTCATCCTTTGTCATTCAGATGATGACGGATAGTGCGAGCTGACACTGTTGCACCCTGTGCCTGCAGGTCAGCTTGAATTTGTTTGGAAGTTGATCAAGGTTCTTTATCCACTGTTTAAACAATGCTTCGTGGCATTCTGTCATGTCTAATACTCTTTCATCCACGTCCAGGGAGATTAGCTACAGCGCCATGGGCTGTAAACTTCTTGACAGTGTTGCACACAGTGGACACAGGAACAGCCAGATCTCTGGAGATGGACTTGTAGCCTTGAGAGTGTCCATGCTTTTCCACTACTGTGGTTCTCAAATCCTCAGGCAATTTTTTGCTCTTCTTTCTTTTCTCCATGCTCAGCGTAGTCCACACGACCCAAAGGTTGTCAACTTTTCTCCATTTAACCTGGTCACAAGTGTGATTTCTATATTGCAGCACCTGTTGATTGCTACAGGTGAGTTTCATTACAAATTAAAGGAGCACTACAAATTAAATAAAACATAAGGTGTGATATATAATACTGTATAAACAGTAAACATTTTTAAAAGCTCTCATAGGATGAGATTCATCCTTTTATGGGAAGACCTGCAATCAGAAGAAATCCATTTTAACAGCATCTTAAATTATTTAAGTCATTTAGGTCATTTTATTCTCACCTCAGTGCTCTGTTTGGGGTCTTTTCTGTATTTTGCCACCTTCATCAAATGTGCATGTCCAGTTAATGTCAAAGGGAGTAGTTACCACAGTGTTCTACATATTAGTCAGAAGAAACAAATAAAAAACATTTTAAGTTAAATCTTTTCCAGCAAAAAAACTTATCTCCTTTTGATACATTTCGAAACATTTCTTGTTGATCTCCTAACATGGTGTTTGGATGAGTAAAGTGTACATATCCACAAAAGTAACACCTGCACAAATGTATGTGTGCTGATTAAAATACATACATAAACGGTTTCTTCTCTGAGGCCTAACTTTAGGTCGAGATGATTTCCTCCTGCTGTGGAGCTGTCCCCTAAGAAGCAGTCTCCTCTCCAGCACCACGCAGCTGAATATCTGTCAGGCAGGTTCACTGTGGAACCATTCTGCATGTCAAAACTGCTGCAGTAATTTGTCACTCCCTGTCAAGGCTCAAACGCACCCTGCTCTGCATCCACCGAGGCCTGGTAAGTGTGTGCACTCGGACTAGCATGTAAGAGTGTTCATGACAGTGAACATAGGAGGGCTTTGCGTGCTTTCTTACTTGTTTGGTCACATGCTGGAGGGTCAGCCTCAAGGTGCACTTCTTCTAAGTCAAGCCTCACTAAAGGTGATGCCAAAGGCTAGCAACAGAGAGGGAGGGAGACTATGTTTATGACAGAGTGTGTGCAATTGTGGATGTTTACCTGCAAGATCGCATGTGCCCTGTGTCTTTGCATCCCGATGTACGTTAGAAATACCATTGACCACTAAAATCTCAAAAGGCTCTGACTAAATTTTGACCAGAAAATATAAGACATTACTCTTCTACAAATTCTCAGTTTTTTCCCCAACATGATGCTGTTGGAGCCTAGAGAAAGATAACATTGCTAGTTGTTCACAAGCTTCAAATTATAATTTTCTCACATCATCTGCAAGATGAGAAACAACAACCTTCAGAAAAACTGCTGCTGCACTCACCTTGATGTAAAAGTTTACCTTAGTTGACTTTACCAGAGAGAGATGGAGGTTAGTCAACAGCCTTGTTGACTTCAGTGATGGTGTGCTGGAACGCCACACAGCCTTGTTGACTTCAGTGATGGTGTTAAGTAAAAGGAGAAAGAGAGGATGAAGGAAAGAAGCAGAGAGGGGCAAAAGTGAGGGGTAGTCAGGGAGTGTATTTCTATGAGCCTGTGCCTCTAGTTTCTAGATTGTTTGGCTGCGTAGACATAAATTTTTTCCCCCTCCCTTCCTCCATCTCTCCTGTTTTCTTCTGACACGCTCACCAAGCAAATCCAGCCTTATCGACCTGCTCTTGCAGCCTGTTGGCAAATTTTCCCTTCAGTTTCCCTTATTCACCCTCACCTGGGTCATTCCTCTTCTTCTCTATCCCTTCTGTTTCAACTCTTTTGGACCTGACCTCTCTCATCAGCTCACAACCATCTTTCCCTCCCTCCTTCCTTCTGTCCTCTCCTCTCCATCTCTTTTTGTTTATACTAAGTCAACACTTCTCCCTTCTGTTATTTTGCTCCTCTCTTTCTGTATCCCTCCCCTTTGTCCCCTCCTTCTTCTTATAGATGGAGATTAACTGGAGAGTGCAGTGCCATCCGTCCTCATGACTGTTTGTTGTTAAAGAGATGGATGGAGGCTCCCTCTGCCAGCCCCACGCAGCCACAATTACACCAGCCGCCATGATGGATAGAGGGGAGGGGGTGGGGGGTGGAGAGAGGGAGATATAGAGGGGCGCATCTATCACACCCCTTAATCTACCTGTCACTGCACAGGCTTGGAGAGGGGGTGTGTGTCGGATTTACTCTCACTTCTGGTCAAAGGTTTATTTCTTTTCTTTACACTGAATTTGAAATTTTGCCTTTTTTTTAAATAGAATTAGGTCTGTGAGGATTGAAGTTATTAAATGTCCTGATCACTCCGATAAATTTCCCAGTGCTTATTGGATTCTGTTGAACATACGGTGTGTGTGTGTGTGTGTGTTTATGTACGTGTGTCTTTATTACAGGCATCAACAGGTAATAAGATGCAGTTACTGTTGCCCTTTTGCAGACACATACACTTTGCATGGCGACACATTGTGGGGCACCACATAAACATGCAACAACTGACTAGAACACACACACACACACACACACTCTCTCCTAAACTAAGTTGTAGTTTGTCCCTCTGCACTCCACCTACAACACACACACCTCATTTTGAGCTCATACCTGTTGAAGGTATCAAAGCACTGCCTAGTAAAATCTGCATACATTACCTCTAAGACTTCTCTATTTTCCTTACAATGCTACAAAAATATTATGAAAAGTTATTCACCTCCTCATCTGTCCAAAGGAGTGAGAGATGGGATGGAGGGATTAATACTCTTCCGCCCAAGCCAACCCTGGGAATGATAGATGGACAGATGCAGGAAGGGAGAGGAGGAGAGAGGGAGAGATTAAAGGAGAGAAGTCTGAGGGTTCATAAATCCAAAGTGGGAGACCTGGTCCACATCACACACTAATAAGATCTGCAAGAAATCCATGATGAGGTAGAGAGAGAGGGAGGTGGAGTGAAGAAGAGAGAGAGATGGGAACAGTGTAATAGCATTAGTTGTAATCTAATCATGGCAATAAGATGTGAATAGATGAGCGTGAGCATGGTCATTATGCAGAAGAAGAATGGTAGCGCATTGATCAATCTGGATACGTCTTGTTATTGGACAACGGATCCACAGATTTACGGTCCTTGAAACTGTTGCAGACTAAAAATACTGTTGATTATATTTTTTGTCAGTAGACCTGGATGCTACATGGTTGCAAAATGTCTGATCTACATGTTAATCGGGAACAAAATGAGTCCATTGAATTTTGTTGTTTTTGTATCAGTCATGAAACACCTGCACGCTGTATTTGTCTGTGGCTGTCATCACATGAAGAATTAAACGTAAATGCATAAAGTGCAGTTGTGCAGCAGTGACCTGACCTGGATCAGAGGCCTCCTTCCACACACCCCCACTCCATCCACCAGGCCACATTTTTCATGGCCCAGCTGTCGGAGGGCTGTGATTGGTTGGCTCAGCAGACAGATAGCCGATAGGCTCTGATTAATAGTTGAGGCCCAAGAACTTCCTCATTGATCAACAGGACAGGCTGCAGGAGGAGGAGGGGGAATGGATAGGAGAGAAAAAGCATGCTCTGTCGCTCTGCAAGTGCTTGCTGATAACCCTGATAGGGACTGTAGGAGTGTGTGGAAGTGTGTGTCTATTTGTGGGTGTGCTTGTTTACAATATCAAAGAGGTGAGTGGTACAGGAGCAGAATAAAATGGAAACATAGCAGTAAAAAAAAGTGCTTCTTGTTGACTCCCTTTCTTTCCACCTGCCTCAGTCTAATAGCATCCCTGAGCTTTCCATGAATAAGAAAGCATGTATGTTATCAAACAAAACATACAGCTAGCCAAGAGCAAACATCTCAACAGGACTTTATCCGTGCAACTGAAATGCACTGTGGGCTGAAAAGAAAACTAAATGTTTGAGACCTAGATGTCAGATAGCCACAAGACATTTTTATTTTATTCCTCACTACTAGTTCGATTTAAATTTGCTAATTATTTTATACTAGAAATATTTATTTCCCCAGGTACCTTGTGTGTTACAGTATCTAGGCATGTGTCCCCCCCCCCACTGCTCTGTCCAGCCTCTAGTTGATTGATGATCTCCTACTCCCACAGGGTCAGCAGGGTCATGACCTCCCACTTTTGACCCCCCTACTGAGAGGGTCACACGAACACACACACACACACACACACACACCCAGCAACCAATGCAAAAACAGATGGCCTTGGGAAAAATGGTGCTTCCTCCCAAACACTGCGTATCTTCATGGTTTCTCACTGTTAGAGTACAACTGCACCACACACTGATAGAACAGATTCAACTTCTCTACTAACTGATGGACAAATTTGACCATACTTACATAAATAAACCTACATTAAATGTGGATAATAGACATTTAGTGCCCCCAAAAAGTAAATATCAATTAGGCAGGCAAACAGTTTTGATTTTAAGAAAGGAGTTTGACATGTAGCAATATCACACCCTAGTGACACAGGAAGGTTATGACTCATGAATTTTGAAATATATTTACTAGCCAGGCACAAAAACTAATGAGTAGAAAACAGCCATGAAAGAGAATTTAATAAAACCATAATCACACAAACACAGAGATCAAGCGCAGTGCTAATAGATGGTGGAGAACAGGAGGGAGTAAACACAGAAAGTGGGTGAAGCAGAGCAGCCAGACACCAGCTTATTAACTGGTTCCTGTCAGTTGCAGAGGAGAGAGAGTGATAAGAGTTAATCAGGTTCTAATGTGATCTGATCAGACTGTTACTCTGTCTTCTCCTGGGCAGCCATCTTCAGCCAGCTAGCCACATGGTTCTCAATGTCCTGATGGGGAAAACATGATGAAATCAAAGAGTTTAATCTTATTCTGCCCTGTAACAACTACTAATAATGATAATTTGGAATGAAACTGAAATAGTTCTTGTAATGCAATTACTCCTCTCCCTGAAGGAATCCCATCCAAATGTGATCCCAGTGTTAGAAAGTGAGGACAAAAATCCAGTCGATGTGTGCAAATATATCGAAAAGATTTAGTTAAAAGTGTGAAGATCTATCAGATGCCAAAGCGCTGCACAGTGGCTCATAATACTGAGATAGGTTTATACAACTCTGAAAATCAGAGGTAATCATCTTATCTTTCATTGCGATGATTGCAAGATAAACAGTGGAAATACTGTGCTCGTGTTACAAAGTCTTCCACCAGCAAAGTGTGCCTGTTTGGCCAAAGCAATAGCGTGTTTCATTAAATCATGCTGCACAAAAATTTGAGCAGGTTCAGATCAAATACATATTAGAACTTTAAGATCTATATGATTGCTAAGTAGATTTAAAGCATCTCAGTGAGTCATACACACCTGTCTGGCCTTCTTGAGGGAGTGGCGCTCTGTGACGTCGCTTCTCATCATATCAGCACAGTGAGCAGTGTCTTCAATGAAAACAACCTGGGTTTGCCCTTCCTCAGTCCTAGCCTGCACCACTGAGAGCTCCTTCCATGGGTCAAGACCTCCTGTGGTAATGATGAAATAGATTTTTCAGTTAGTCAAAATCCTATAATCACCCTGTCTGATATTCTCTTACCTCAGGTTCAGTAATTTTTGATTCTATAGTAAATCCAGTCTCACCATTGACATAAAGGACCCTGTGTGTCTGAGCGCCGATTCCTCCATAATAAGTATTGGTGAAGGTGATGTGTGCGGGCAGGGAATGCTGGGAAATGCCAAACAGCATAGGACAGAGCTTTGTACTAGTCTGCAGGGTCAGCATCCCAGAGAATGGACAAGTGAGATCTTCACAAGTCTGGTCTACACACAGACACAAAAAGGGGTCAAGACAAAAAACAAAAAAAAAAGATAGATGACTATGTGTGTTGCTGCGTGTAACAAAACAATAGATGACTATGTGTGTTGCTGCGTGTGTTGTACAGAAGCCAAACTCAGTGCAGGTCTGGTAGGTCCACTGTCTTTCTGGGTTCCTTCCTGAATGCAGGGTTGTGTTCATCAAATCCTTCAATGTTTTCTCATGGGAGATGTCCAGACAGGGTTCCTCACTCATGGAATGGTAAATCTGCCTCAGAGAAAACAAAGGGATGAACAAAAACAAAAAAGCATAACATGAAATCAGAAAACACAAGCTGTATAATTCTGCTGGCAAGAGAAAAGCCTAAATAGTTTTCATTTTATCTCTTGGGGGGCTACAAGTCTTTTGCTGATAAATGAAAAATGGTACAACAGTGACATCTGGTGGTCCTGAACATGACACGGGAAAGCTAAAAGCAGCAAATCATCATTTCACACAGTGAATCGGTTTCCATACCTGAGCTAGTTTAACAAGGCGGCTGTAAGCCTCAGTCTGTTCCACGTATGTCCCACTATCATTGGTCATGACACTACAGAGCTCATTAATAGACATGAGCACCCCTTCTTCATTGTATTGTACTGTTCCCATGACAATATCAGCCAGGTTTTCCATCAGCTCAATCTGAAGAAGAGATGTATAGTGAAAGTTCTTTTTTTGTTCAAGCTAGTCTGCATGAAAACTGAACCAAAAACAGATGGGTGAAGCATGATGAAGGGATTTAGAACCAATTCCCAACCAGGGGAAGTGGGAACTTTAACAATTCAATTATTTTGAATAGCTAAGTTAATTTTACTAAATGTATACACACACACATTGAGTTAGACTGAAAAATGTAATTGATAATTTGTTGAAATATTTAGATAAAACTGACAAAGGTTAAGTGATAAGGGGTTGGTTGACCTTTCTTCTAGTAGTAGATGTAAAATAACCCAAATGTCAAATATTGTGGTTTATAAGTGACACAGCTGTAAGGGTGTGTCTGGGAGGGAAAGGAGGTTGCATTAGAATACATGTTTGTTGAACAAGACCTCCTCAGTCTGCTAAAAGTTGTTGCCCCAACACCATGCTGGTACTTTGCTGCCCTTTAAGCCCTACAACCACTATGTTTCCCCTCAAGTATCTCAAAAACCAAAGCCATCACCTGATCATTAAGATCTTTGGGGATCTGACAGCAGCCAAAGTCCTTGGCTAACTGGCTGGCATTACCACCCATCAAGGCTCCTTCCACAGCAGCAAAAGCCTCCTGTACACTAGCCAGACACTGCAGGTAGAGGATGAGAGCAAATTGAATACAAGTGGCAGGAATGTGATGCCTGTCATGTGGTGTAGACAGTTGGCCTTCCAACCTTTTCTGAACCACCAACTGCTTCATTTGTGAGACTCAAGCCAACAATCTGAAAGAGATTAAATGATAGACATGAGAACATTAATAAAAACATGATATATCCCTAAAGTAACTGCATGTGTAATACAAAGGTGTAGGTCCAAGTGAGGACAAAAATTCTGGCTACAGCCCTGGTAATTTGTTAATATTGTGACCATGGATTGTGCCAATTTACGTTGTTGTAGGCAGAGAAGTCCAGTTTTGCCTCTACAGGAGCAGAAGAGGCCACAGCTCCATACACCAGATGGGGAAACTGCAGTGGGATACGATACATGGAAGACAAACAGATGTGAAGACTATTAAAGGTAGCACCATTTATGTAATAGCTAACATGATGAATAGTTAGTCCTGTAGCAAATGCAGAATAAAGAACACATTTAGTGCCTTTGACAACTAAAATTTAAAAATATATATATCATACCCTAATACAACAGCCCATGTTTATTGTACTGCAAGATATTTTCAGTGAACATGGGTACTGTAACTTTACCATCAAAATGGTGCCATAAATCCTCTAAACTAGTTCTGTTTGAGCAAGATTTGCTAAAATATAACAGCACCTGACTGTTTTAGTCAATTACTCTGGAGTTTAAAAAAAGATATTTGAGCTTTCCATCCTACTAGGAACAAATTGGCTGAATGTGTTAAACACACAGATGGACCAAAACAATGTTGGTCTGTGTTTCTGCAGCAGTTAACAGTAAGAAAATACAAAATAACAGCAGGACAGAATCTGGCGTGCAAAAAAAAAAAAGTTTGAAACGTCACAATTCTAGTTGCTGCAGTGGCCATAAATCTAAGGCAGACAGCCTGTTAAGTGTTAACAACACTGTGGTAGACATGATAGGTGGCTGTAAATTCACTAAATGATAGGAAAGAACTTCAGTATGACCTTTCTTATCTCCTTTATGGTGTGAATAAAAGAGTAACCTTTATGACAGGAAGAGAAATACTGCCTTTCTATAGCAATGCTCACACTGTGTCTGTTCCTGGCCCACTGAGTCTTATCACTGGATTTTAATACAAAGATAAATTAATGCAGAACCATGAGAAATCTCATCATGATGCCTGGTATGAATTAATGCAGTTTTACAAACTTTGAAACACTTACTGATCAGGAGTAATTTCTTAAGAACCAGTTTTGTGCATTGTTTTTAAACAATTATATCTTCAGCATAGAACCCTGAGCTTTGTGCATCTTTGAATGCATCCAGAAGTTCATATATAGGCCCAGCCCTGCACCTTTCCTCTGAACCAGGCAGACAGTGCTCCAGAGTAGGAGCCTCCAAAGCTGATCCAGGTGTTCCTGCGGCTCAGGTTGAAGGTTTGGCTGATGTACTGGTGGAATACTGCCAAGTCAGTAAGCCTGAACAAAAGAGAAATAAGGCTGGGCAGGGTGCTTGAATCTGACTAGGATGTGTCAGTGTTCCTTAAACTGAAACCTGTGATGCAAGTGTTTGATCATGGTTTCTCCTGTAGGATTTAGACCAGTCACCTACTGAAACATTGTATAATGTAGACAGGATTTTATAATAGCAAATCAAACAAATAAAATACTGAATGAACTAAAGAGACATTTACATGCAATGATGTAGAGGAAGTGAGGAGAAAAGCAGGGTGCAGGACATGCATTTACAACCACACATAAAACAATAGGGAGACAATACTAACGCCTGCTGACTGCTCAGGTAGGCAAGATTCTCTGTTTCAAGGCCATCAGAGTTGATGCTGTCACCATAGAAACGATGCTCCAGAGTCAACAGCAGAGCCCTGTGTTTTTCAGCCATTTCAACATGGTGACCTAAGATACCAAAGCAGAAAGATTCATGTATAGTTTTTTTTTTTTTAAGAAATGCTAGTACAATAGGGGAACAAAATAAAAGTGCATGGAGCCTTTACAAAAGGAAAAATGTGACAGAAATGACAGAAAACATGGGAAGAAATTTGATGAGTTAGGAAGAGGGGAATGGTACCAACAAACCAAGCGCAGGGCAAGAAAGAAAATACACACTTGCTAAGTAGCGTTACCTTACAGATGCTTCATTTATGGAGTTTAACTTTCATTTCCAAACATTTGAGTCAGCGCGTTTAGCAGCTGATTCAGGCATTTCTTTATTTTAAATGTTTGACTAGTTTGAGGTTTTAAAGTGTGCATGCATCTCAGATGTCGTGCCTCCCAGAAGATCAGACTCAAAGATGGGCCCTTCTCCACCAATGAAGAGGAACACCGGCCCATCAGGATGCTGCCAGTATGCCTCATTCACGAAGAACTTCTAGAAGGAGGACAGCCAGGGAGACATATTCAGGTTCATCTAAACCAGCAGTATTGCATATTAATCCTTTAGTCTTTGCTGCAATGGACACATTTGCACACTGGAAGCAATTGTGTAGTTTGTCTTCATGTAGGTTACGAGGTCACAAACATGAAATGCAAGTTCTTTTATTCTCATCATTTAGTCTCAAATATTAGGCCGTCATCATGTAATTATCTGCTGTACTGTTTGATCTTTCTCTACCTGAGGGAAGGTGCCAATGTCCTGTTGGTTGAAGTGGTCCAGTGGCTGATGAATCCGTCCTTCCTTCACATGCCTGACAAGCTGAGAACCACCGACGGTGTATGTCAAGAGATGCTGCTTGGCTTTCTGCAGCTGGACATCACGCACACGCTCCTTGATCTTCCACATAACCCGCCCTGGCATTCAAATAAAAACAGTAACAGGTAAGAGAGAGAATGGAAATCTTGCACAGTCACTGAAATAACATTATGCTAAAAGCCTTTTCTTGATTAACAGGTGGCACTATACAACTTGTTTGAAGTGTCCTGTGTGGCTCCATCAGCTCAACCAAAGCTTCTAATATTTCACAAATACTTAAAGTCAGAGTCTGCGATTGATTTCAGGGACAGTCAACACTTTCCCAAGGGACTCCAGATCAACACCAGCATCTGTTTTGTTTTGTTTTCTCTCCTTTTAGCTAAACAAAGCTAATAGGGTCCAACCACCATGACACAGCTTGGTTTACATACCCAGGATGATCTAGAAGCCAGGAGCCGGGCACGCAGAGGTGGTTTAACATACACTTGGATGTTTCAGCTGAATCAGAAACCTTTAAAAACCACCAGGGACCATAAGGACCCTTTTAGTCTGTGTCAGTACCCAAACTACTATCAGTAAATTATGAGCAAAAACATTTTCATGAAATGAGCAGAAGTATGGCTTCTGTTTAAAACATTAAAGTCATGTTATGCAGGTAATTAAATTGTTCTTTTAATTTAACATATCAACAAGTTCTCTAGTTATCAAGTTTAGGACAAGACACAAAAATCTGGAAGCAGAAAGTCACATATTTGGTGGAACATTTATCAACTCACCAGTATCAACGTGGTTCAAGAGAAGTAGAAAGACGAGACAGCAGGTTGATGACAAAAGCATCTTTACCACCAAAACAGCTAAATTGAATGCACATCCAATTAGGACTGAGGAGGATGGCCACCACTCCGCTCCCTATATAGTCCTTGAAGGGGCTGCAGTGATGAGATGATCCGTGAAAAACCTCCGATTGTGATGATCTGCATTTGGAAAAACATGCAAACAGAGTGACGCTGTGTATGTGTCTGTCACATATAAACTGCTCAGCAAAATGGAGCGTCAGCTTGGAGATGTAATGAGATCTCCCTGCCTTGTAATGGCTTTTTGGAGTGGTTGCACTTTAAGAGCTGTTCAACAGTTTCCTCATCTCATGTGGTGTGTGTGTGTGTGTATAGGTAATGAGAGGCACTGCCCTGTATCTACACACACAGGCTTAATTCCAGCACCATTTGCTATATCTGTTGTGTTTTGCTAAAGTGTCCTCAGGAAACAATATAAAACCCTAAGAAAAACAAAATAAGCAAGTTCCTAGGGAGTTCCGATTTTAGTTGGAGCCCGAGCTCCCAAACACACAGAAGCACATAGGGCATATGTTGCCAACTACTTTACAGCTAGTGTCGGTATAGGCAATGCATTAACTGTTTGCATTGCCTAAACACGGTCTAGTGGTTAAATTAATGTGAACAACTCATAGTCTAAAATTCATTACTCTTTCTAACTGAGCACACTTTATAGGGGAAATAGAGGAGGACATCTGGGAAGACAGTCTAACATTTAGCCAACACTTAACTTGTTTTTATACAAATAAAAATTAAGGTGCAGGGGGTGTCAGCAATTTTTTAAATTATTGCACAGTGTAGCTGCTTCCCCCCCCCCAAGTGTACTCTTCATGCCTAACTAAGCATGTCCTGCCTGTTGATTAGCACAGTAAGAAATGGAGAACTGAAGTCATGACATCCTGGGTTAGCTTCTGTTCCACCAGTATCTGTAATTCTAGACATTCTGTCTCTCATTCAGCTTTCCTTGTATCCACATCTATGACTAAATGAAGCTTACCACCTACTACAGAGTTTGCCATAAGAAACTAAAACCTTAGTAGCTTTAATAAAGTAACTTTGTGAGCACAGAAAAACTACAACTAATGAGAAAAATAAAAACCAAGCAAAGCTGTGCAGTTACCTATATCACAGGCAACATAGAACAAGAACCTACAGCATAACCTGCACTGGCACACAAAAAAAATAACCAAACTACATCCATCTCACAACAAGCAGCTGGTCTGGCAGGTTTAAATAATGAGATAACAGATGAGGAAACTGGCAACAGGTGTGTGACTGGGAATGGAGGGAAGGTTTGAGGGCATCTGGTGGCTAGATGGAATATGGCAAGAGACGGGCAAAATGGCCACATTCACTTTGGCTCATTATTAGCATATCTCCCACAATGTCAAAGTGTTCCTGTAACCCTGTTATCATAAAAAAAAAAAAGTTAAAATAATAGCACTAAGGGCAACACTAAAAACATGCACACAAGCATCTTGATTATCTTCACATTACATCTCATTACTCGGTTTCCTCTAAGTGAACAGTGATGACACCCTAACCCACATCCTGACTTACCATAGGTGAAAGTTATATATGTATGTGGTGTAGGCAGCTGAGTATTTTCAGATTAACTTTTTTTTATCAGTAAAACTAGTTACCGCGAAGGCTAGGGCCATTTTCCATTCATGTGACCTTTAAGTTTGTCAGGAAAGTGACTCAGCTTGTTACCTCCTCCTTTAAACTAATAACAAAAAATAGGCTTTATGTTTTGCAACATGTTGGGCAACCAACAGGGAAAGGTAGGCCTACACGCAAAAAGGAGAAACTGAATTCAATATAATCAGTATTTTTAACATGGTATGATCAACCCAGAGAAAATAATCACATGGTTCTGCAGTTTCATGTTTTGGTTTTCCACCCCACAGATTTAATGTTTTGGGTGATGAGATCAGACACTCAGTATTTAGCACTTAGTAACACTTTAGTGAATTTGCTACCTTTTAAGATTAAAGTTCATATGGGTAAAAACATGCTTGGCCAACACTGATATGAGCAAACAGCTATAATTAATAAAACTGATAATGGATGTGCTAGATTTACAGTACAAGTATGAATGATCAAGCACTGAGCATAGTTATTAGTATTGGCGGTGCAGGGGCAAGGGAGGACCCCAATATCAAATTTAGCTTAGGACCCCATAAGGATTTGGGCCAGTCCTGTTCTGCATTTTCATATTTTGGTTTTCCACAAAGTTAGTATTTTGGATGAGGAGATCAGACATTCAGAGGACGCTAGAAGCAGACGCACTGCTCCTTCACATCAAAAGGAGCCAGGTGGCGTGGATTGTGCACCCCGATCTGGATACCTCCTGGGCTTTGAGTGGTAGGAAGCCCCGGGGTAGAACCAGGATATACTGGAGGAATTATATATTTCATGCAGCCTGGGAATACCTCAGGGGCTGCCAGGAGATGCTGGAAAATGTTACTGGACAGAGGGACATCTGGAGTACACTACTAACCCTTGCAACCTCTGATAAGCTATTGATACTGGATGGATGGGTGGTACAGTCTCACATCACTGTTGTTTCTGGCAGCTGTTTACAGAAAAATACTACACTGTACAATACTGTTAAAACAGCAGACACACAAGATGTCCATCAGAAACAGATTCCTCATGTGGTCACATGTGGTTACACATCCAGCAGACACAAAGCAGCATTCTATTGAAGAATGCTACTGTAAAATTAAATGAGTAAACCTATGTCATAAAACTTAAAAAGTATTTGTTTATTTAGGTTTCGACAAATCAAATCAAATCAAATCAAATTTTATAGCACCAAATCACAACAAAAGTCATCTCAGGACACTTTACAAAGTAAGGTCTAGACCTTACTGTTATCAATATTATTACATAGGGAAAACCCAACAAATCCCCCTTGAGCAAGCACTTGGCGACAGTGGGGAGGAAAAACTCCCTTTAACGGAAGAAACCTCCGACAGACCCCGGCTCTTGGTGGGCGGCCTTCTGCCTCGACCGGTTGGGGTGAGTGGATAGAGGAGAGACAAAAGAAGAAAAGCAACAAGACACAACAATCAAACACTGATCAGGTCGATGTGGCTGGTGACTGCTCGTCAGAGACATAGAGCTCCAGGGCCAGGGCAACCTGCAGAAAGGTACAGGGAGAGAGAGAGGACACACTACG